CCCCCCCCCCCACACACACACGCCCTGCAACACCCCCAGGTCCGCAAGGCGTGGATGAAGGCCAACCTGCTGGTGCACCCCGACAAGGTGCGGCAGCGCCAGGGCAGCGACGAGGAGGTGGCGCTGGCCGACCTGGTGTTTGACGCCCTCAAGGAGGCCTGGGGCCAGTTCAAGGGCTGAGTGAGGCCCTTGGGGTGGTGGCTATGGCTGACACCGGGGCCGAGGCTGCGTTTCCTGCTGATCGTGCAGCGCCTCTGAAAGCGCGGACGTGGTGGGGCCGGCCGCGCAGCGCTGCCTGTGGCAGGTTAGATTACTGAGGAACCCACCAGGTCACGGCGGCGGCTGTGCGGCCTTTGCGGCCGCGGCTGCGACGAGCGCCCCGGCGGGTGCTGCCTTGATGCGGCTGGCCGGGGCCAGGGGCGCATGGGGCGGTTGGTGTGGACGCTTGCAGGAGTAAGGAACGCGCGCAGGGTTGCTGTTCTGCTGTTACACTCACGGCTCTTTTCACGCATCACATGGTCACTCTGGTCTCCTGCCATTTCAATCTGCACAAATATTGTAATACTATGCTGGTTTTTGGGCCGGACTCTGCACAATGAGGCCTAGAAACCCATGAAATGCATCTCAAGGCCAGGGTGCCTGCAATTGCAAAAGATTGTACAGCAGCATGATACAAGAAGCAGTGTGCAGATAATACCAAATTGCATGTCAGGAGTTGAAGAAGATGCTGGGCTGCTGTTGGCGGAGCTGCGTCGACTAGGGTAGAGAGCTGCATGTGTAATTGATGGATCACAGTGTGCCCGCCCCGCCGCCGCCGCCATCCCCTAGGCCGGTCCCGTCCCCTCCATCATCGCCTCCGTCCCCCTCCTCGCTCTCGTCCAGCTGCGGCACAGACACAAACTGCACGCGGCCCACCCTGGCGGGGTCCACGGCGCCGCCCTGCATGTGCGTGCGGGGTTTTTCGAAGCGGGGCGCAGTTTGAATGCCCTTGCAGCAGAGGCCAGCGGGGAGTGTCAGACAGCAGATCTGTCGGGCCGAGCAGCTTTGCGGGCCCAGCAGCGGGCGGGCCAGGCCACTGCACTGCAGTCAGGAAGGTTGTCAGGAAGGTTGGCACATGCCACAAGCCCATCTGCCGATTGCATCAACAAAGTTTGAGTTGCCCAAGAATATTGACGTCGATCCAAGCGCCCCCAGCCCCGCCTACCTGCGTCTGCATGAGGCTGCCGCCCTGGAACGACGGCTGGCCGTAGCCGCCGTCCCCTCCCCCAAAGCGCGCCCCGCCGCCGCCGCCGCCCCCTCCGCCCTGGCGGCCCAGGATGCTCATCATGTGAGTCACCTTCAGCAGCCCGCTGGCGTCGATGCTGACCTGGCGCACGCGAAATCGCACGCATGACGCGTGTGCAGAAACGCATCAGTGTGAAGTCAGCGTGACCATCCCCCCATTTCGATGCAACACACGGGCGGCCGCACGGGTGCTTTTCAGCCGTCAGCCGTTTGGATGCCCTGCAGCCCCACCTTGGTCGATATGCTGCGTGCGTCCCCCTTGGTGTTTGAGGGGATGTTGCTGAACGCGGCGCGCAGGTTGCGGTAGGCGTAGGTGTGGGTCACAATCTGGCAGGAGGCGCTGAACCCCATCAGCTCCACAATGGGCAGCTCCACCTGGGAGATTCAAATGGATTGATTCAAATGGATTCAAAACAACGAAATCGGCGGCCAAGCACGTGGACAGAGTCAAAGGGCGGCTGAGTGAGCGCGGCGGGCGAAGGTCCCCACCCGCGCGGCGCGTACTCGAACCCCTCAGAGACCCACAACACAATTTGATGCGGCCCTCAGGGGCCCAAACAGCCTCTCTCGAAGGGGACGGGGCGCCGCTCGGTCGCGCATGTGAGCCATGCGTGGTATCGCACTCACCTCCAGGGAGCCAGACGTGCCGGTGGCCCTCATGGTGATGCGGCGCGGGTCCCGCTGCATGGACAGCACCACCGGCCCGTTGGGCCACTCCAGGTCATCAATCGCCTCCTTGAGCAGGGCGCCTGGAGGGGGGCAGCATAGGTTTGGAGTCAAGGATTTGAATGGTGCGGTTGGTGGACGGCTGCGATGCCCCATACTTTGTGCTGGGCACGATTACTCTGGCATGCTGATCTCTCGGCGGTCAACAGACCATGTAGATGGCCGCCAGCCCAGGAAGGCCCCTGGAGATGAGTTGATAGCAGCATGCAGCCCTCATGGCAGACAGACAGTAAAATTCGCTGGAAAGGCGTGCATGAAGGCTACAACAACTCCAGGCAGCTGGCGTGGGTGGTACCCGCGACAGGGGTGCGTGGTGTGCACTGTCGTGGGGACAAGCGACCAGCAGTGCCCACCCCTGATGAGGAAGTAGGAGACTGGGTCCGCCCAGTACTCGGTGATGTCGCGCGGCACGGGCTGCTCCAGGCACGACACGCGCGCGTACATGGAGAGCGACGGCACGCCCGCGGGCGGCGCCACCGGCGGCGCGCCGGGGGCGGCGGGTTGGGGCGGGGGGTCGTCGCGCATCCTGACGAAGGGAAGGGTAGGTGGGGGGTTGGTGCTAGACAGAGGGCGGGCGTTTGTCGCCTCGGGGCGGCACCCATACCTGTCAACTCGTTTGCCGTCGGGAGGCCGTACGGGTTTATGTATATCTGTGCAGACATAAGCGCCGGTGGCATGCGTGCAGTGTTCCCAGCTGGCGCAGCGCAGCGGTGCCTCACGGCAGCTCACTGCAGCACGAGCTCGCCCTCGGGCCCTGGGTAGAGCAGCTGCAAGCTGTTGGCGTCAGACGCGCACGCGAACGTGCTGAGGGTGTCCACCAGCTGGCTGAACTGCCGGCGGAGGGGTGACACCAGGTTGGTTGGTTGGTGGGTTGGTTGTTGGTTGGTGGGTGGGTTGGTTGGTGGGGTGGGACCAAGGTGTAGTTTCCAGATACAGGTCCTGAGGCCAGCGCAAACCCTTGCATTTCCAAAGCAATCCTGTCTGCCTGTGTCGCGTGAGAGTTGACCTGGTCAAACCCTCCAAGGCAGCCCCACCTGCACGCCAAAGACCTGCTGCTCTGCGGGGCTGTCGTACGATGAGAACAGCTGCCAAGGGGGTCGAACGCATTTGGGGCAGGGCGGGCGCGGTCGGCTGCAGTCAGCTGCAACAGGCTGATGATGGCAAAACAGCATGCTGTTGACAGCGCCACGATTTCACTTTTGTCGTCAAATGGGGTCAGCATTGATCGTGGCGAATTGTGGCACCCGGCAGCCTGCCAGCTCATGGGGCAGCGCGTGTCTAAAACCGGCCCACCTCTGACCGGAGGTACACGCATGACTGCAGAGTCTTCGAGTCGTCCTCCCAGCGGATGGACAGCCCATCGCCGTCCACGATCACGCTGCACACCTGCGCGCCACATAAGAATGCTGAGCGGGAACGCAGGGGGGGAGGGGCGCAGGGGCCATGGCACGCAGAGAATGCCCACAAAAACAGCGAACTTCTCACCACCTCTCCCATGGTCCTGGGCATGCCCAGTAGCCCTGACATGCGCAGCGCTACTTGCTCTCCATGTGTTCGTTGGTGTGCATGGCGCCGCCCGCACGCGGCGCCGCCCCAAACGCCTGGCAATTCCAGCACACACCTGCTTGCTGCCGGGCTTTATTGCCTGCAGCACGGCCGTCAGGCCCCGCACGTTGTCTAGCGTTAGTGATAGCGCCTGCTGCCCTTGGTCTCCTCCACGCATTATGTCGCTGTGAGCGGCCATTGCCGTGTGCCGCGTCAACAGCAGCCGTGTGCGGCAGGCTCTGCCCGCCCTTGTGCAGAGAGCGGCGGCACGCACAGCACACGGCCCCTTTCGTGGGCCACGTATCCCTCAGCCTCTAAGCAATGATTGCATGGGTTCAAGTGCCATCCCAGATGCGAGTACGTCACCGCTGCTTGGGAGAAGTGCAACGGAAGGAAGCCCGCCAGATCACGCCTCTGCACTGATCCATTCAGATGCAGTGCTGTCCTGTCGGCCCGCTCAGTAATCGATTGCGCCCCGATATAATTACTCTGTCAGGGTGAAGTGAACACTATATTGTGAAGAACGGCAAGCAGTTGTTGGATCCAGCTCAGCGGCTCTGGCCCCCTGCAGGCGTCCATAGCCCACGCGCACAAAGATGGTGGACCTCGTGGCCGGCGTGTATTATCTGGCAGGGGCGGGGGCCGGCATTGCTGAAGGCACCGCGTTGGCGGTGAAGGAGCTGGTGCCGGGTGCGGCGGGCATCCTGCGCGCCACGGGCCTGAACCGCGCCAAGGTATAGCCCACGGCTGCATGGTTGGCTGAAGGGTGCACAGGCATAGAGATTGCAAGCTGCTACGGCCACAGCACTACGTCGCGTGCTCAATGGGGTGTCACTGGCCCGGCAGTCATGGGCGGTGCACCCACCCAAACTCCTGCAGCAGTTGGTGCGTGGCCCGCGCGTCAGGTGCGCATCGCCCCGCCCCCGCCCAACCCGCGACGCCATTCTCGCACCCGCAGGCCGTGACCCTCCCCCAGACCAACGGGGCGCCGGCGGC